TGTATAGATTCAGCTCAGGTGCCCAGGTAGATAGCCACCAAGTGTGTGGTGTAGGCTGTCACTTACAGTCCTAGACAGGCATGGGTGATCGGTGTAGGCACAGGCATCTGGCTGCAGCAGGGGGGCACACTTTGAGCAAGGCAGGGGGCTGACGGCCACCCCCAAGTGTCCAGGAGGAAGTCATGTCCCTGTTCCCTAGAGCATGTAGATGAGTGGGTTTTGCAGCTGGACTATAAGCACCTAATGCTGTTGGCTGTAAGGACTGAGGGGCACCTCTTATTCATGGGCCCCTCTCACAGGTGGCTAGGTGGCGTGGGTGGAGCCACCAGTCCTCAGGCCCCTGATGTGGGTAGGTGAAGACCCTGCTTAATGGGCAGAGCAGTATCAAATGTCAAGAACGTGCGTGCCACTTCACAGCTGAAACAGTTGAAGTTAGAGTTCCAATATATACCTTGTTGTACTGTGGTGATGAGGGCCTATGCTGTTGAGATGGGTCCACAGAAGTCTATGCAGGGAGAAAGGCACTCAAAGTCCATGGATCCCTTATGCTTGTGCCTAGGCAAAGGAGCTGTGCCTAACCTGGGTTCCTGGCTTACGGGAGCTGGCAGTTTATTTTTTCCCCACTTGTTAATTTGTTCACTCTCCAAGGCATGGAGAATGGCTCCGGGCATGTGACGGATCCTGCTTCCGGCCCAGGGGACTCGGCAATTTCTAAAGCCAGTCCGGGACCCAGTGCAGAGCAGGGAGCAGGGAGGTAAACGGGAGAGAGGTTTTTGCCTAAGGAATGTGTTTTTGATCTGCGAGGTAAGCTGTATGCAAGTACTTGTCTTTTGCCGATGAGGGCTGTTTCTCACTGGTTCTGTGCCGCCGAGTAGACTCTGTGGCGCTGGGTCTCTCCCAGTGCAGAAAACACGCTTCCAGAGCACTGCCACTTGCCTGCGTCACCACTCACCCCCGAGCTGCTCAGGCCTGAAGGGTTCAGGCTCTCACCGAGTCAGGTCTGGCAACTCTTCCCTCCCCCTGCCACTCAGTCTGGTTCCTCACCTCTGCCTTTGATGTTCGGGGCTCCCAGATTGCCATATATAATCAAATCACCTTTTTTTTCGGGTCTTTGTTGTAAGAGGGTCCACTGGAAGAGTCTGACTACTCCGTCTCTGTTTCTTTTATTTGCTTTTGTTTTCAAATATTTTATTCATTTTTAGTGGCAGTATACTCACAACCAAACATACCTCCATTCACAGTTTCTTCACGAGCAGTTCAGTAACATTGGCTACAGATTTCACATTGTGTCACCGTTCTTCCTCTACTCATGTTGTTTCATCACCATTAGTTCAGGCCCACTGACTCAGAAAGTTCTCATCTGTGCTTTAATTATTGTCAGTTCATACTCGTACAGATTTATAAGAGTGGTATGCTTGAGGTAAACATTATTAACTGGGCTAAATTGTTGTTTAGTTTAATGATGATTTCATGGGGTAGTTTCAGTTCAAGGTTTAAGGATTATTTCTGGGCATTAGGTTCAGGAGTTCCCCCAGTCTCAATGGATCCAGTAAGTCTGGTTTCCATATGTCACTTTCTCTATTTTTCTCTCTCTCTTTCTCCTCTTCTTGTCTGTTTCTCCATCTCCCTCTTACTCTCTCTCCCTCTCTCACTCTGTCTTGCCCTCTCATTCTCCTCCTCCCTGTCTCTCTCTCTTGCTCTCTCTCTCATTCTCCCCCTTCTCCTCCCTCTCCCTCTCATTCTCCTCCCCTCTTCCCTCTCTCTCTTTCTTCTCCCCCCACCGTCTCTCTCTCATTCTCACCGCATTCTTCTCCCCTTTTCCCCACCTCTCTCTCTCATTTTCCCTCCTCCCTCTCT